TTCTCCAGGAACAAAGGACACAAAAGACCCGCTTGGGCCACAATGATTTCACAGATTATGGACTTTGCTGTGTCTCATGAAAATGTTTCCTCCTGCAGATGTGAACAGTCGTAACAGTGATTCCTCCCTAGATAAGCGCATTTTACACATAATCAAGAAAAATTATCATTTGAGATATGGGAACAGGAGTAGTTTTGATCCTCTGTGAAGGTAATCAAGCATGCCGTTCCTTAAGGATTCATTTCCAAAGCCTGCAGTGAGGGGCTTCTGACTATGGTGGAATTTCTCTCACACTGAGAGAAATTTGTGTGTTGAATAAGTAAATAAATTTCTCTCTCTCTCTTTTTCCCTACTATTGCTGCTGATAAGAAATTTTAGCGAGTGCCCACCGTGTGGTGGGTGCTCTCTGAGGCACAGTTGACACAGAAATAAGGGGCTGGGAGGAGAGAGAGCTCACCCTCCGGGGAGCAGACAGATAATTCAATCAGTGTGATAAATGCAGAAATACTGGCACACAGGGTGCTGGCTATGAAATCTGAAAGCAAAAGAAAAGGTTCCTAGCTGAGGCTTGTGGGACTCAGGCACAAGGCAAGAATGGGGGAGAAAGTGCCATTTAACGTACACGGTGGCTTGCAGGGGACAGTAAGCTGCTCAATCGATTAGATTTGTCCTCAGTAGCAGATGTGTGTGCGCATGGCCTGGTGAGAGACACAGTGACGTAGAGCGGGGGTTGGAAATAGTGACTGCCATTGACACCAGGCCCCCAAGCGCATATCTTCCTGGCTAGGAAGCATACAGCTGCACAAAATACTGTCCCCGTAACAGCTGCCACCCACACGCTTTCTGTGGTGAGGGGGCAAGGCTGGCTCTTCAACTGAGAACAGCAGTTCCCCCGGGCCTGGCTAGGTGAGCTCGGGCCTTGGGTTCCTGAGGGATTCCCTAAAGCTCACTAGCAGCTTTCACATGTCACCTGGCGTGCAACCTTCCCACAGTACAACCATACTCAGGTGCTGGCCGAGCCGGAGCCTCCGAGGGTATGTTTTGCGAGTCTGCTATGCGAGAGGCTCCCAGACAAGCAGACCTGCCCAGACCTTTGCAGCCTCCTCTCCTCCTACTCCCGCCCCTCACTGTGTGTCCTGCCCGGATTCTCACCTCCCCTTGGAACCCCTCAGGCTGTCCCCGCCCCAAGCTTGCACATTTTGTTCCCTACACCTGTAAGGACCTTGCTTTCCCTTTGTACCTGGAGCACATGCATATACCCCTTAACGTCCCGCTGACTCATCTGAGTCCTCGTCAAGCACACTGGCTCACTTCTGTGTATTTGTAACTCCGAATACAATCCCTTGGCCGCACCGTTCAATATTGCTAGCTGTCTGTGTTGATTCCCGCTCCGTGATGAAAGCTCACTGGCCACGCCAAACGCAGGATCTTCTCCTATTCTCATCTCTGCAGTGGGCACCTCCATCTGCCGAGGCAGAGATTAAACATCACCCTCCACCTGGTCTTTTAAGCACTTCCGTATCTGATTACGTGTACCGCTACATGTCCCCTAAAGTTACTTCTGGCTTCCTCAGCACTGACCTGGATTATTATTTCTCTCCTATAGTGTTGCTTGTGCTTTGTAACTGAGCTGTTTACCTCTGGTCTCCAACCCCCTGCAGCTCCCAAAGAGCCGTGACTCCTGAGTGAGCCTCTTCAGACCCTCCTGCCTGCTGACCTTGGTTCAGATCTCAGCTTGTTGTTTTCTGCGGCTTAGGGAAAGGGGACACGCTAGTACTCACCTCTTAGGCTGCTGTAAAAAGGAAACGCGGTAACATATAAAGCGCCTAGAACAGATCCTGGCACAGAATGAGGGCTCCCTAAGCGTCAGTAGTTATTATTATTATTATTATTATTATTATTATTATTATTATTATCATTATTTTGGCATCTGTGCCACCTTTAGAATTATCGATGCTTCCAAGTCTGCTCTTTTGCAAGTCTGATGACATCCTTCCCCTAGAAGAATGTTTCTGTGGTCTTCGGAATTTTGTGGGGTTTGCAGACCCTCCAAGATCTGCTCCTAACTCCCCTTTTCCCTCCACAAACATCCTGCGCTTCAGACAAGGGGCCCCCGCCCTCCCCTAGACATGCAGTACTCTCTCTAGTCTCCTTTCCTGGTGAGATATTTCACCAGCGCGTACTTAGCTTTCACCCACCTGGCCATTTTCAAGTCATCCTTCAAAATCAGTTCACTGGCCAAGTTCACTGTCTGAGAAGCCCAAGAAAATAAACCAACAAAAACAAGCAAGGTCGTTTTCAAACATGCTAATAAATATTTCATATGTGTATTACAATTATATATGGCGCTATTTATAGGTTATCTTATATGATAGTTATTGGGGACGCTTCTTTTTCCCATTGTTGCCAATGCCCTGTCCAGGGGGGTCTTCTGAACTGACCATGTATAGACGTGTGGTCTATTTACACAGAGGTTGCCAAAAAAAAATGTATAGAAATTTTAAGAAAGGTAAACTGTATTAAAATTGTAATATTCAATATATACTGATAACAAAAGACGAATGCAAGTCACGTTTGACTTCTGCAATTACAAGAACAGTTCAAAGTGGTTACCATCAGCGTCCAGACACTTCTGATTACGGCCAATGACTGCTTGAGCAACGGTGACCAAGGTGTCCACTTGTATTCATTTTTTTGGTACCCCCGGTATGTAAAAACAGCATGCCTGATACCAAAGTTTATTTACTTCTATGAGACTAGTCAGTAGTGGCATGTGAAGTGTGCAGAAAAAAACCTCTTCGCTTTTGAACCCTGGGGCCTAAAATTCTACCCTAAAATAATATGCATCTCTTTAGGTTGCTCCCTTTGCATGCCCTGCTGGGAGCAGTGTCTGCCCTGCACAGAGGACCGATGGTCCAGCCCAGGCTCGTTCATGAAGAATGAAAACTCTGGAGCCCGATGGGAGAAGGGAGGAGGCGGGGGAGACGGCAGAGGGGAGTGGGATGCAGAATGGAAGCCTGCAACAAAGTCCTAAAAAAAATCTCCATTTGTAGAGATGCCCTAATTAACTGTTTTGTTCAGTGTTATCTGTGAGGAGGAATACAAGTTCTTTCTCAGGGCCCTCTCTCACATCGGAAAACCAACTAACACAGTTTCCTTAGAGAAATACTTCTCTGAGTTATTAAAAAAAAACTATTACAGTTTAAACTATTACAGTGGGAGAGAGTGAGCTTAAAATGTAGTTATAACTCCCTGATCATCCCACAATCTAGAAGGTAGGGCCCATGGAGATCAGATCAACTGAGAAAAATAAAGATGGGGCATTTCTTTGTGTAGCTGAGCAGTACGTGAGGAAATCTGCATCTAGTTACACCCATAAGCAGAACACTGGGGCCAAGGAGACCCAACCCAGGATGCACCTGGGGTCAGCACTGGGGTTCATTTGCTGGCTTATGCCTGGGAGTCTGCCCAACACTGCCTGCCCTTGGAGTTCAACATTTTCCCGTTTCCCAGCTTTTGTGTCAGTCTGATTTCCGTTTCATGCCTGCTCCCCACAGTCACTCTGAAGATCTGCTCTGAACCCCTCGACATAACCCCCAGCCTGCTTCCTAAGGGCACCTTCCCCCTAAGGACTGATCTTGCTCCCCATATTCTCAGACGATACCTCAGATATTGGGTTTTCCAGGCAACCAAGGGGGTGCGTCCCTGGCCTAACACAATATAGCTGCATCCCGGGCAACCCCCACCCCACCTCGTGGCAGCCCAGACAGGACAAACATCAGTCATGCCCTCCTGAAAGTTCTCAACTGGCTTAGTGAGCTCCTGGTGGCCAGCACTGCTCACACACCTACTCCTGCTAAGTGCACCTCTGGGCTCACTGTTGAGGGTTATAACTGCTAAGTAGAAAGGCAGGTGCTAAACAGGGTCCAGATTACATTAAGATTATATATGTTAAGATTTAAGGGGAAAGGTGTTTATTTCTTTAAAAGCCCAAAATGTTAATTCGGTTTATTATTCAAGAACTGTTTTGATTTACACAAATCTATGGCTGGTGAACTTGATTGGAACAGCAATGTATACATTGATAAATCACAACCATTTATAAATTGTGTCGCAAGTGACTTCTTAGTAACAATGTGGTTCTGGGGGTCAGAAACTGCTTTCTGTAATGAAGCTGAGGAGCTTCAAGTTTATTTCTACAATACGGCCGTGTTCACTTGTACCTTCCAATGCCTGCCTGGGCGGACGAGAAAAGAGGAGTTATAACTAATGCACCAGAGATTCCGCTTGGTGTGGCTGGTCTGGACAGGATGGTCAGTGGTGACGTGCGGCACAGGAGAACAACCTGGGGACCGACAGCTTGGCACATGCTGGCACAGGACCTCTGCCTGCTTCTGGTGCTTTGGTGAATGCCACTGGAGGGACAGCTAAGACCCACCGACTGTGAAACCGCTTTCATACAGGCAACTTGGAGAGCTTTGCTTATCATGATGCTGTGGGAGATACCACTGATCGTCGATTAGGAGAAATTACTATTTGAAAATTTTACCACCATGTGTAAGGAGGACTGCTGGGTCCCACACCACCATGTGACCCAGTAGTCCTGTCACAGACCTCCCTGCAAAAGCTTTATTAAATACTATTCTTTCTTTACTATCAGATTCCACCTTCCCCATTTTGTCATGGAGTAGCTCTTTCCAAATCCAACATCGGTCATTAACTTTCACCATTAGCTACAGTTTATTTTGTACCGGGTCAAATCTTGTCTGCATCATCTGATTTAATCTTCACAAAGGTGTATGATGTCAATACTTACACTGCCGCCATTATGAGGATGACAAAATGGAGGCTTAGAGAGATCAAATAACATCGATGGTTGTTCTGCTGGTGAGTGATGGTGAAATCAAATATTGAAGCATTTCTGTGTGACTACAAAGGCTGAACCTAAAGCCATGGTGCTTACCTGCCTTTCCAACGGCCCCATGATTTCCAGTGATGTCGGCAAGTGATGTCCTATGAGTGACGGATCAACCTTATGCCAGTTCCAACTCACCCTGGTGACTCTGCATGCACTGCAGACATTTTCCTGGAAGGAAGGACATGAGCCAGTGTGACGACACTTGCTTGCTCAAAAGAGCTCTGAAGTTACCGAGGCAGCCCTGGGCTCTACTTGCATCCAAGGCCCGCTAGGGCCAAACATTCCTTAGATCAGCGGTTCTCAAGCTTCCTAATGCC